CTGTGTTTCAAAATCAAAAGTTGTTCAATTGAGAATTTTTTTAAAAGCTACTACCATTAGACTAACACTAGGTGCCTCATCCTTTAAATACCAATGCAGAGCTACAAAGTACTCATTTCTGAAAGCAGAGGTGGGAAATTTTAAATGACATTTTAACTGCATGGCTAAAAATTAAGATACTGAGACTAGTGCTTTCTAAAACAATAACCCATCAGTAAAGTGCCAGCTTTCAGCAAGGAATGACTGCACTCTATCAGGAATAGTCAATCCTGCTGCCATTAAGGTCATACCTGCACATTTCACAAAGCAATCGACCTAAGAGGCCATTTGCAAACTGTGTGCTGCCTGAAGGACACACAGGAATCAATAACTTCAGGTTTCTATTCTGAATTATTCATTCAGTCTTTGCACAACAAAAAGCTGTTCTCCTTCTCTCTTGCTAATGCACTACCACTGCAACACAGTACATGATTTTGAACACTGGCCTTTAAAAAAATAGTTTTCAAAAGCATTTTGTCACCCTACTTACAAAAGCCTTCTTGCTAATAACAACTTTACAAGTGATCTTTAGAGTAACCAGTGTCTGTGAAGGGATGCTGCCCATTGCTCCCATCAGCAGCTTGTTTCTCCCAAGGTACGGTCAGCCAAGGGTCCCAAAACCCAACCCACACTTCAAGTGGCTGGGCTCCCTGTCAGTGCCATGGAAAGGACAGCTGTCCCTCCCCAGGGAGCTGCCCCCGTGCCCAGAGTGTTGCTAGATGATCAGTTAAGAGGCTCTCTACAGCATTTTCTTCCATGAAAAGGAAGAAACATTTTCCCTTGAAGGGAAGATACCGGGGTGTTCACTGTATCACTAGCCAGTCTCTGCTTGCCTTGCCTTTAGTCCTATTTGCTGTACGTCATAATTTCTAATAAAGAAACAAAGTATTTCAAAACAGCCCATTTAATCTCTCAGGACTAAGACCTGGCACAACAAAAGTATATTTAATTGATTTGAAAAAGAAAATCAACAACAAACAATTTTATTTATCTGCCTTTATTCCATTTTCATCAACAGCTTTTTTTATTTTCTGACGTATCTCATCTTCCACCTCTATTTTACATTTGGTTCAGTATTTCCTTAAGTTTTGGGGTTTCAAATTCAAAGGATGTCAGGAAGAATTTCTGGGCTTTCATGGAAGCTGGATTTTTTTCTAGGATGCTTTAGGACCACAAGAACACTACACTAGAATAAAACTTGCAGCCACAAATTTACCTGATCTTGTCACATCAAGGGTTACTTACTGCTCTAGCGAGATTTAACACTTTATTTTTAGAGCAGCAGAGTGAAGCACTTGCTGGAAGCAGGGGCTGGTTTATAGAAGAGAGGAGATCTCTACCCCACCACCACACTATACTGGCATGTGAGTTCTCCCTGGAAGCTCATACCACAGCAGCAGGCGAGTCCAAAGTCCAATATTTCACTTCTCCAGTCTGTATGTCAACAAGACATAAAAGATAACATTTAAACTGGAGCCACACCATCAGACAGCAAACAGTAGCCTTAGCATGTCTAAAGTTCCAATCAATCCTCAGAAAATCTGTTACCAAATCAAAAGAAAAAATTCAGCATTAAAAAAATTTAGTGACAGGCCACTTGACCTTAAACTGGGGAATGCAAAGATAACTTACACAGCTTAATTTTGCAAATAACACATTATGTACCTGTCTAAAACTAGGCATCTTAAGAACATGAGAAGGCAATATTTCTGCAATAACTATGTTTCTATTTTAGCAAAGCACACAATATGCTTTACTACTCAACTAAACTGACAAGGGACTAACACTGAATTTTAAATATTACGCACTTACACACTTTGAATCTAATGCAACAGACAGCAGAAGGGTAAATATTTATCAGTCATCTTGTTGTTTGTGGTTACTCAGTAAATCCCATAAATATAGAACTTAATTAGAAGAGTGACTGTAAGCTTCCATGCCATTCCACAACAAAAGATGGGAACTCGTCAAAGTGTCATTGCTGCTGACTTAGAATGAAACCTCTTGGATATAATGGTATAAAAGCATGAAAGTTCAGGACTTTCTCAAGGACTGCAGGAGAATAGAAGCTTAATTAGAATGAGTAAGGAAAGCAGTAAATAAGAAAGGAAAACGTACAAAGAAATGAGAAAAGAGAAAAAAAAAGCAAAAAATAATCAGGGGACACAGAAAAGAAACAGGAGAAGAAAGCAAAGAACACAAATAGGAGGGAAAGATGATGAAATTAAAATGCGATCCATCCCCATGCCCATAGTGGGGTCATGTCCATGTCCATGACATGTTACACCTGACAGACAAAGCACACTGGCTTCTTTCTACAGTCAGTGGAGCAAAAGCATTTCTAGGACACAATTAATCTTCCCCTTAGGTAGATGTCTTATTGGAGGGACACTTAAAAGGGCCTGTTCCCTCAGCCATCTACTAGAGAAGTCTGGGTGAACAGCTCCAATAAGCCTACTGCAATGCCTGAAATGAGACAACTCCCATCTTGGTTTGTCTGAAAACAAGGTACTGTCAGTGAATGTGCAAATACGAGTTGCATATGATTTGTATTAAATATGAGGTAGCTGAAACTGAAGGCTCAAGTTCAAGTTAATGCCTTGACTAGGAGAGGTCCACTGCCTCTACTAGAAATGCACTCATTTACTGTGCTATTTTTTCTACATTCCCTCCACAATATAGTGTTCTCTAAATAAGCCCTTACGTGTTAAGAAAGAGCATATTTGAAAGACTCATTTTAATGTCCACACAAGTCACTGTTCTAGAAACAATGTCTAAGAACAGAAATCTGACAACTGTATCACTATCTGCTTTCGAACTATTCCCAGAAGGTAAGGATGCATTGCTACATAAATTCCAAATTAATAGAAGAGCTATAGTCAAACTGTGTTTCTGTGAGCTAGCAACCCTTAAATTGAATTCTAAAGTGAGCAATCCGAGATGAAAACCAAGGCCAGGAATACACACAGTCAACACACCCCATCTGTCTCATCTATCTGTATCTATTCCTCTGCAATCACCCAACCCAGAACCATTTGAAAATGAAGGCCTAAGGCCGTTGACCTTGGAAAGCAATGCAAAAGGATTTAGAGTGAACTCTTTACCCTCATTTCCTTATGGGTTTAGAGTCTAAATCTTTTCTAAGCTACTCCAAAGAGGCTGACAGCATGGCAGTGATGACTGTGCATGTTTTGGAAACGTGTAAAATAAAGTTGTATAGAAATATAATTTTCAGTATGCTGCTCTTCTGTACAATAAGGCACTATTTTAAACCCATATTAAAGGATTTCTGTCCAAAAAGCTTCAGATAGGCTTCTTCACATCCCACAGAAAACTAAAGCTGCATCATTAAAATGCCTCTTTAATACACAAAAACATGAGTAGCCCCTATAAGCATGACAACAATTACCCTCAATTAGATGAGGAAATGCCTGATGGTTAATTTGGATATTGAATTTTACTGCCAGAGTACTGGCAACCTTCCTGGATGTTGGTGTTTTTATTTTTTCCTTTAAATCTAATTTCTCTGAAATATTCTATAATGGATACATTTCTTATATTATAAATATGAGGTAAACTTCAGAAAAGGAAGGCTGCAGAACTGCCTTTTGTCTTTCCTCATTAGCAAGTAGAAGACTTCTTCAGGGACGTGGGGCCACTTGGACGTTTCAGGAATACAAGGAGGAGGCTTCTGCATAGAAGGGATCCCTGGAGCAGCTGTTGCTAGATACAGCATGTTTCCCTTGGGTCTAACAAATTCCCAAAGGAAAACCTATTGGTATGAGCAGTCCTGTGACTCCAGACTCACCCTGCCCACAGAAAGGTTGTATGCTGCACAGAGGCTGATGGCAGGACCACTCCTGATCTCAGTCATGGTGAGAAGGACCAAAAGATTCCTCTGCAAGAGAGTTCTCTTGCAAAAAACAAGATTGAGTCCAAATTCAGTTCCAAGCCTGGTTAGTTTGCCACATCACACCATTTCCAAGAGCTACATACATTTCAAAATTTTAAAAGATGTGAAACCAAAAAGATAGTTTTAAACATCTGTAACCCTGTAGAAATTCTCTTCTGTTTCAGTGTCCAATATTTCTCAAATACCCACAAGAGCAGCCACAGGAAAGAGAAAAAATAATGAAGTTGTTCCCTAAAAAAACCCTATTTTTCTCTAAACACGAATACAAGGAGATCTTCCCAACAGTATTTGAACATTGCACTTGTTAATTATAACTCTGACAGTTTGCAGATACATTTTTATTTAATGTGACTCTTACATGAATTCAGCCTTGGAGTGAGGGGGCATATCAAAGGAAGTTATGTCAAGTAATTATACAATCTGTTTCTCCAGAGAAATGTCTAGGCTAGACAGCTGGCACTGGAACGGAAGATTAAATTTAGAACTGAAGGGCCATGCAGTGAAGGTGAATTCACAGCTTTTAGTTCTCTGTCAACTAAAATCTGTACATGTTAAAATAATATGCTCTGTCCCTGAAGCAAAGTTCACTGCTGTTCAAAAAAAAATATATTGAAATATGACTTTTACCCCTGAAAGCCTCTATTTCTAATCCATGAGCAGTATACTGATGCCACAGGATGATCCAGAGATCTCTCTCTCAAGGTCATTCCCCTCTCCTCAGCATGGTACTTCAAATATTTTTTTTTCTTCATTTGCCTTAGCTGTGGTACTACAGCCATGACACACTAATTCCAGTAATGAGCCAAGCCTTATAAAAAGAAATCAACTTTGACTCATTTTAATTTCAAATTCAAGTACTCAATTAGATCACCTTGGGCAGCATTTCAGCTCCCCCAAGACTCCTCAAAAACAAAGCAAATGCATAAACCTCACAACTTAAGATCTCCCTTTTAGGTAACACACCTGCATCCTGAAATCAAACATGTAGTAAGACAGAATCACTGTTGTAGCAATCAGTCATCCAGACATGACAGAAATAACAACTGACCTTCATGAGATGCTGATTTATCCATTTTGTGAATGTCTTCTTCTGTACTTTGTCACGCTCATCTAGAGGGAAAAAAGAAAAACAAATTCTTTAACAGCGCTACAAATTATGCAGAAGATTTTTTTTTATGAAGGCCTTTAGAATATTAATTTCCTAATCAATTTTAAAAACAGAACAGCCCACAAAAGCTCCAAAATATTCAATGAAAATAATAACACAGAAATGTTTTTTTAGTACATCACAGCATGATATGAAAAAGTTTCTTGACACTCCAGGTGAGCTGCTCCAGGGCAACAGCAGGTATTTCAGTAGCCTACTAATAAAAATCTAACTGCCTAGGAGAAGTCAGCTGGCACTCAAAATGTACTGAAAAGATCATGGCAAACTTTTAAGAACTATAAATGCTATTCATGGTCTATATAATCAAATTATTACTAACGTAGTAGTAATAGAAAACTTGTGATATGAAAGCTAACTCTTTCAATTATTATGCTTTTCAACTGGAGTATTACCCTTGTTCAAACACACAGGGACTAGTTAGAGCTTCAGTCAGGGAAAGGACTCTTAACCCTCTACAAAATAAATAGGGATGTCCACTAACCCAGATATGTGACCCAGGCAGCAGTTTGCCCCCAGGTGTGGCAGTTAGCATCAATGACTGCCCATAAAACTCTGTGGAGAAATAATAAAAGCAGTAGATTCAGGGTAAGAAAGCATCCCGCTAACGGGTAGGGAGCATATGCATGCGTTCTGCTGAGCCACACTGGAGAAAATTTAACAACCACCCCAACACAAGAGTTATCTCCAGCAACTCGAGCAGGGCCACAGCCAGTACAACTGCTACAGAGCCTGGTCACCATCTCAGAGCTCCCCAGAGCAGGAGTCACAGTGCATTAGGACTGGGACCATCTGTGCAAGCCTAAAATAGCAAGATTCAGCCCTGCACAGCACAACTGCAGCTGTTTCATTGACTCAGGCTATTTGTAGTGGGGCTGAGAATGAGCAATGAGCTCAGGTAGCAAAACAAGATCCCTGTGTACCCACTGCCTTCACTAAAAGACTGAACCAGATCCCGTATTTTACATTAAAAAATATGGTTTTCAGGTTGGTCAAATATAGGAATAAATAAATTAAAATAAATTCACAGGTCTTTCAAGGACTTTGAAGTCTCTGGTGTGATACTGAGGTCTTTCAAAACAGCAAGATACTTTACAAGAATCCATCCTGGACCAAACTAAACACCATATGGGGTTCCTAACAGTAGTGAGAAATACGTATTGAGGAACAGAAGCAAAAACAAAACAAGTAAAAGCCTGTGAAGCCTTTGCATAGTTCTCTTAAGTGACTCACAGACTTCCTACACATTCATTCACACACATTTAATAGTCATAGATACTTTTTTTTTCTGTTTTTTTTCTTTTTTAAATAATTTTTAACACACCTATAAGTTTTATAGCCACAGCTCACTGTGGCAATGAAACCTTCAGGCAGTATATGTAGCATAATTGAATATTCAGCTTGGTACAGAAGAGTTGCTGTTTCAAAAATGCTTTTTCCACACCACGATTCTAAGCTTCTGGCATACACTTTTCCCCCCCCACTTCACAGCTCTGTAGTCTCTTATTTTACTTGAAGACACAAATAAAGAAGAGAAAGAGAAACTAGAGAGCAATGCAACTGGAAAAAAAATCTGGCAGATTAAGAAAATCTTTTGCTTAGATGAAGCTATTTTTCCATAGCCTTCATCTAGCAAGACATCATTTCTGATGTAAGTTATTTATCATAATAAGGTGGAAGCTCTGATTCAGTAAATTTAGAGAACAGAAAATCTCAGGAATAATTCCAGAAACACTTTCACTTTTAACTGTTTCATTATGAGCAGCTGTTTTAAAAAGAACACAAAATTTCTCAACTTCAGAATGTCACAATGTGTACAACGTGTCTTTTTTACTAAAGTAACTCCATCGAGTTTTGACCAAGTACACAGAAGTTTACATTTTGGGAAATGTTACTTTGATGACAGTTAAAAAAAAAAAAAAGTCTGAAAAATCCACTTCCTTGTCTCTTGTTAGAATACAGAGTCACTCTTCATTTCAACTCTATTTTCAATTAAAATGCTAACATACATAAAAGAGTTTATGCTTATTATCCATGTTCCTTTATATATACACATACATATTACACAAACACTCAGAAAAATTCTGTAACTGACAGACCCAAATGCATAAGGAGGAGGAAAGCTAACACCTGTTATGTTGTGAAAAACACCAGTATTAAAGGGGGAAAAAGGTCACCAAAACACCACAACTGTGATTTTAAATTAAAAACCCAAATGCTCCCAGAAAAGCAAATACACACTAAGAGAAAACAGTGCCACAGTGTTCAGTGCGCTTGAGCTCAGAGCAGAACACACCAAATGAAACTCGCAGATGAAGCAGAAAACAGGTAAATGACCACATAAACAGCAGCTAAGGAAGGATACCCGCAGAAAGCCCCTTGAGAGAAGGGTCCCCGCGAAGAGCTCTGCCCTATCCCGCAGGCAGCCCTGCCAGCCCAGCTCGGGGCTGCATTACTGACCCATGCAGCACATGATGCCCACCAGCTCTGCACCCTGCTCCTTCTCATCTTCACCACACTCTCTCATTCTGCCCTTCAAAACTTCAGAGCTTCTTTTCATTTCGGGAAAGGAGAGCCAAGGAGTGACCAGGGCTTCTCCTGGCTGACACAGAGTAGCAACACCCCTTTTTTAAAAAAACAGGAGCAAACAGCCCATGAGCTGTCACAGCAAGCTAAACTGTGAGCCCTCTGGCTTTAACTCACAATGAGAAAGAAATCAAGGATCTGTGTTTGAGGATTTTTTTTTTTTTAACTTTTAGGTTCACTAGTAGACATTTGAGTACAAATGTTGAGCTTTCCAAACAAGGAAGTCTGTTTTTTTTCCCCTACCATTAGTGAGCAGCAAGGAAAGAGTCACCCTGAATCCATCAGCCAGATACTCATTAAGACAAGGTAATTTAAGAATGCAGGTGAAGCAGGAGTTGCAGAAAGCAAACACATATTGCTAGATAATCTGAGCTATAGATTATCACAATAAACCCTCTGTGGTTAATTAATCAATTTAGGCTCGTCTGTTTCTACCTGCAGACATTATTCTGATATATCAGACAAACTCGAAGTATTTTATATTTTATGTGTCTGGGAAGTAGCTCAGTAAAATTTCACCAGTCTGAATAACCTGACAGACTACTTTATGAACCTACACTATAACACATAGGCATCTAAAGAGGTTTCAGATTAGAATATTTGAACTTTAAAAACAGTTGCTGCAACTAATGTCTCCTTCTGTGCGTTTTTGTCATTCCTCAATTCCAAGCATGAACCCAGGAGCCAGATCCCTCTAACACCAACACTCCCTTCCACAAACCTCTAAAAATTACATGGCTCACAGTGCCTGGAAATCAGGACAGTTTGTCTGGAAGTCAAGTTCACTAACAGGATTGCACCAAAGGCAACATATGGCACCGATGCCTTTTCAATGCTCTCCTGAGGAGAATCACAGACGTGCTTAGGTTGGAGATGTACAGTTAACAAACAACTGCCAAGTCCACTGCTAAACCATGTCCCTAAGTGTCACACCTGTAAGTCATTTAAATACCTCCAGGGATGGTGATTCAGTTACTTTCCCAGGCAGCCGGTCCAATGTTTGACAACCTTTCTGTGAAGAAATTCCTCCTAATGTCCAACCTCAATCTCCCCTGGTACAACTTGAGGCAATTTCCTCTTGTCCTGTCACTTGTTGCTTGGGATAAGGGACAAACCCCACCTTGTTACAGATTCTTTTCAGGCAGGTGTAGACAGCAATGAGGTCTTCCCTGAGCCTCCTTTTCTCCAGGCTGAACACCCCCAGCTCCCTCAGCTGCTCCTCACAGGACTCGTGCCCCAGACCCTTCCCCAGCTCCGCTGCCCTTCCCTGGACTCGCTCCAGCCCCTCAGTGTCTTTCTCACAGTGAGGGGCCCAGAACTGGACACAGCACTCCAGGTGTGGCCTCAGCAGTGCCCAGTACTTGGCAGTTGTTTGTTAACTGTACATCTAGGCTAGCAAGCAAAGTTTCCATCAGCAACCAGAATAACGTAGAGGAAAATTCTCACATCCAAAATATTTTTTATTTATGTCTAAACCCTTGAAGAAAAGCTTGCATTATGTGCTGGTGTTTCCATCACTGCTAGCAGTATTTTTAACCACACACCACCCAAGGATGGGAGAAGTCCCACTGGATCCCTCTCATGTTGCTACCAAGACATTCACTACCAGCCATCAGAGCGGGGCACTGGTGAGGTGAAACAGGGCTTCCCCAATATTTCTCACAGTCAGCTGCCACCCTCACAAACAGAACTTAAGATAACTGACATCATCTACCCTGTGTTGCTCCATAAAATGTATCCCACTCAACCACTGCCCTCTGATGAGGTCTGCACTGGTTTGGCAAGGTTCTTTCAAAAGAGTGGCTCCTCTTCTGCATTCTAATCAAATCAACTCCTGTAAAGCTTCACTTTATATGTCATGTCACATCAGATCTGCACACAGTTATGGAAGAATTTCAAATTTATACCTATCCTAAGCTTTGCACTGTTAATTTAAATAGCAATGAAATACAAACCTCAGTTTAGGTCTTTTCCTAATTTTTCTGGTTGCTTCAGTTAGTTTGTGAAGAATTTAAGTCTCCCTCCAGTTTAACTTCCTCTGAAAACCAATCAAATCTCTTACACATCAGGAAGAAAGGACACATATACAGCTGGTCTGATTACAAAGATGAATCAGAATAAAAGGTTTTTCATTCTGAAATCTGATTCCCTTTCATGTCCTATTTTTATTAAACTGTGAACTATACACACTAAGAGGTGAGGATGAACAAGAAATTATGTGATTTCCTTAAAATTTCAGTCAAATAAGACCAAACTCAAACTCACTGTGAAGTTAACAGCTAAATTTCACTCAGTAAAGCTCCCTTTAGTTTCTACGTCATTAAGGTTCAGCCTTCATTAAACAAAAATTAATGTTTAG